AAAACCACGGATGATCTCACCCAGTGGTTTCATATATATGTTGAACAGGAGGGGTAAAAGAACTGACCCCTGGGGCACCCCACAAGTGACACGCCTCGAGGTCAATCCCTGCCCTCCAGTCAACACAAACTGCGACCGATCTGACAGGTAGGAGGAGAACCACCGTAAAACGGTGCCCCCCACTCCCAACCCCCCGAGTCATCACGAGGTTATTTAATGGTCGATGGTATCGAAAGCTGCTGAGAGGTCTAAAAGGACCAGAACAGAGGAGCAGCCCCTGTCCCGGGCCCACCAGAGATCATCGACCAACTCAATCAGTGCTGTCTCCGTGCTGTATCCGGGCCTGAAACCCGACTGAAACGGATCCAGGTAGACAGCTTCATCCAGTGATTGGGGAAGCTGACATGCTACCGCACTCTCAACAGCCTTCGCTACAAAGCGAAGGTTGGAGATTGGACAATAGTTGGCTAAAGAAGCTGGGTCCAGGGAAGGCTTCTTAAGGAGGGGCCTCACCACTGCCTCCTTCAAGGCGGTGGGAAAGAACCCCTCTCTCAACAAAGCATTGGTAATCGCCTGTCACCTCCCGGGAAGCCGAGACTAACCAAGAGGGACACAGGTCCAGCACACAAGTGGCAGCACTGGGTCTCCCCATAATCCTATCCATGCCCTCGGGGGTCACAGGATCAATAAACAATAAACATTTTATAAGTTTTTAATGTTGCCTATTATTAGAATACTATTTCTATTCTAGTTGCAGGTATGCTATAAAATTGCGAAATTAAATTCAGTGGTTGGAACTAGACATAAACTAACATAGCTTTGTTCCTCTCTCTCTCTCTCTTTAACAATATTTTCCAATGCTAAATGTATAATGCAATGTCACTTGGGGAATGTTTTCCTGCTCTAGCAAGTGACAGCTGAACTGTTATGCAATCACTTCATTAAAAATCTTTTGAGAGAAGATGATAAGATGCTGACCTTAATGGCTTTCCATCATATAAAGTTCCAGCCTGAATTTCTTGCACTTATCCTTACCTCCATTCTCCATCCATAGAACAACCCTAAGGAACTTGTCATATAATATGTAGGTATCTAGGTGTCTGTTTATCTATCATGGTATAGAATAACGAAAGGGTTAAAGTGCTGGCGTAGGAGTAGAGAAGCTCAGGTCCTATCCTCCTTAGGCACAGAAGCTGCCTAAGCCAGTCACTCAGCCCTGACCTAAAAATTAAAAAAAATATTTCTTTACCAACCTGCACTGGTTCAGCATGGTAGATTGGGATCCAGTACCATCTACTTCGGTGGATTGATTCTGGTGGATTATTATCACTTAAACATAAGGCTTTTATTCTCTTGGTGTAAACTAATTTTAGAGCTTTGAAATCATAGTTCAAGGGAACAGAAGAGGAGACAGGGAGTATATAACGGGCAAGTAAATTCTGCTGGAGTTAAGTTCTTCTATTATTTGTGACAGTTTGTTGTTGTTGTTGTTGTTGTTATTAGTTGTGAAGTCGTATCCGACCCATCGCGACCTCATGGATAACGTTCCTCCAGGCCTTCCTGTTCTCTACCATCCCCCAGAGTCCATTTAAGCTCACACCAACTGCTTCAGTGACTCCATCGGGCCACCTCATTCTCTGTTGTCCAGTCCCCTTCTTCTATTGCCCTCAATTGTTCCCAGCATTACGCTCTTCTCCAGTGAGTCCTTCCTTCCCATTAGGTGGCCAAAATATTTGAGTTTCATCTTCAGGATCTGGCCTTCTAAAGGGCAGTCAGGGTTGATCACCTCTAGGACTGACTGGTTTGATCGTCTTGCAGTCCAAGGGACTCGCAGGAGTCTTCTCCAGTACCAGAGTTCAAAGGCCTCAATTCTTTGGCACTCAACCTTCCTTATGGTCCAACTTTCACAGTGACAGAGTTTGGATCCTATTAATTGCATTTAAAAAAACCTCACATTTTGAGACAAAATTTTCAGCAAACTATAAATCACTCAAATCTTCCTAGTTAGAGTTGCCTGTTAGAATGATTTGCCTTGTGATTTCACCACATACTAAACTTATAAAAAGTTAAAAAGGTTAAAAAGATAGGGAAGATAATGGAATAATAGTATTTTTTATGAATGCACTTTAAGCACAGATTCTAGTTTGTCTGCAGCAAACCAACAGATTTTTGCTTTCACCAGCCTCCTGCCAGCTCTTGCTGATGTATACTTCTAATCCATCAATAAACGTGGTGTAGTGCGATTAAATATTATTAAAAATGTTAAAGAACAGACAATAAAATAAATTAAACAGTATTAATAAATTTCCATAAATGTGTTTCTTGCCGAAAGTTGTAAATAATTTTTTAATATTGGTTAAGTGTGTAAAACATACATAAAAGCTGGAATAAATGATGTGATGGGTTGCCAGTTGTACTGTTCAATAGAGCCTGAATGAGAGTTATTTGAAATGAAATGGAATTTGTCACTGAATTGACACTTCTGAGAAAATTTCCTTTCTTTGGTTTCTGGTGAATTTTCTTTACAAACACCATATTTATTCTTCACGTTTTTAACTCTACACATTAAATATTTCAGGTGCACACCTTTAAAATATATTTTTGTATATTTGGGTTATTTGGTACACCCCAAATAGTTGGTATACTGCTATTCTATTTAGTGGCTTCTAATGCAAGCCATGACGCTGATGGCTCAAAATCTGTAGGCTGTACTAGATAAGGCCCAAAATGATACACCTGCATTTTTCCTAGTTTCTAGGTGCTCCCATGAATTGGTAGCACAGGGATTTTGGTCCTCCCAGCAGCAGGGTATAGTGTGTTTTAAGCAGAAAAGAGGATCTTGAAAGAGGCTACAGCAAGAAGAAGCAACCATGTGTTTTCTTTCATTGCAAGAAATTTATAGGAAGCTGCATGTCAGAGATGAATGAGTTTATTCAAACAGTGGACAAGACTAGAAGCAACATGAGTTGAGTCATCAATTTGCTGTTTTTCTCACAATTTCCCCCCCTCTGTGCTAATTCTGTTCTTCTCCTTTGCCTTTCTCTACAGTTGTGATATATTGTTTTTAACATGAATTTTTTGCAGAAGGCTTTTGAAAAAAGTTTCTGGACATGTGCATCAGGGGTGGGTTGCTGCCGGCATTGCTGCCGGTTCGGTGCTCATGTGCACATTTGACCATAAATGCAATAAAATTGCTTTATGCATGCGCAGAAGCAAAAAACTAAATAGTGGCACCTACAGTGCCGCGGGAAGAACCGATTTGGCGGCATGGCAGGCCTGGGTCGCTGCTGGTTCCAGTGACCCAGTCCGCTAAAGTACTACCAGTTCGGCCAAATTTTTGCTTCTGCACATGCACAAAGCTGAACCGGGCCGAACTGGTAGGAACCCACCACTGATGTGCATCCCTACAACCATAGATGGCCCACTCCTGTATAAATTGATATCCCCTCCCAAATATTTGAGACTGCTTATGCTAAGCATTTCAGTTGCTTATCTTTAAAATGTGTTGCTGCCCCTTAATCATGCATGTTACACCTCCATTTTTATGCAGATTGCAGTCCTACTCCTGAAGAATCCACCCCAGGTATGTATATTTCCCCCCTACATTCATTGTATTTGTACTTGAAAAAGTTGGGGCAGAATGATTCTCTTAATTTAATACTAACATCTTTTGCTGATCGTAAATTTTCTACTACAGTGACTTTTGAGGGAGGGAGGGAGAGGGAGGAAGAGAGAGGGAGGGAGGGAGGGAGGGAGAGCGTCTTTCTCACAAAATAAACAATGGATAATACTACCTTGAGTTGATTATCACTAGGTCTAAACTATATCTACTGTATCTATCTGTCTGTCTGTCTGTCTTTCTGTCTGCCTGCCTACCTACCTACCTACCTACCTACCTACCTACCTACCTACCTACCTACCTACCTACCTACCATGTTTGAACACAGCTGATAGATCATGACTGACACTGAGATGTGTGCAGTCTTGGGATTCTTAGGTGCTTTCAAGTGATTTTAAATTGTACTTAAAAGCCAAAAGCATAAACATACAGAAGTGGCTTTCTTATCACTGCTCTCTCTTCTCTTTTCTGACCTGCAGGTGAATGGAGTGAGGCTCTTTATCCTCTGCTGACAACACTCACGGACTGTGTGGCCATGATGAGTGACAAAGCAAAGAAAGCAATGGTCTTTCTTTTAATGCAGGACAGTGCCCCCACCATAGCTCTTTGCTTAAGCCTTCAGTACCGGAGGGATGTGGTCTTTTGCCAAACTGTAAGCAAGAACATGGAATGTATGTTTTGGACTTTGGGATTTGTGCTTGGAGGATTAGCATTTTGAAAACAATGATTAGACTCAAAAGGGGATAGTGATCACCTAGGGCACTTTAGCAATTTTGGAGTTAGATAACACAGTCACAGATTTCTCTTCTGCACTGATAAACCTTTGGGATATTTAGAGTGCCCGTGTGTCCTTTATTACAAAGGACAACACTTTATAATAAGAAAGCTGTACTTTAGACTTATTTTTTAAAAACTCGCCTTTGTTTTTTATAACAGTAGCACTTAGACGTATATATTGCTCAATAGTGCTTTACAGGCATATTCTGAGTGGTTTACAATATCAGGATGTTACCCCCAACAACCTGGGTCCTCCTTTTACCTACCTCAGAAGAATGGAAGGCTGAGTCAACCTTGAGCCAATCAAGATCAAATTCCAAGCTGTGACCAGAGGTTGTCTGCAATACTGCATTCTAACCACTGTGCCATCTCTTATTTTGCTCAGTTAAATTTTACTGTATCAATGGTACCACTTAGTGCACAGTCTTTCATATTCATGTGAAAAATATGGCAATTGAATTGTTTCTTTAAAATAAATGTACATGTAGTGTTTAATTTGAGATGTTTCCATTAGAATATGCATCTTTGTAAAATTTCTTTTCATTTTGCTACTGCGTTTTCCTTTGTAAAGCAAAATTATAAAAATAAACATTTTTTTTTATCTTTACAAACTTCTTTCATATTTGCCCCTTGTCAGATTTTACCTTTATGATTTCCCAAAAAAGTATGGTTATAGTAGGGATATCACATATTGGCCTGCTTTTGAAACTGTTCTGAAGCCTTGGTGCAAGATGATTACAACATGCAGTATTAATTGGCACCAAATATATAGAACTAACCAGAAAATTTTAAAATAATGGCACTGAGTTCTAATCTGCTTCCAATCAACAAGGGCATTTGGGAATTGTATACCTAAAGGGCTGCTAGGCCATCTGGATTTTAATAACTCCTCCAAGACTTTACTTTGGGATTATCCTTTTAGAAGCTGTTAATTTAGGATTCCAGCACTGAATGGTGACATCCTATCTATAGAATATTGCTTCCTGATATCCATTTACCATTTTGGCAAAGTTGACCAAATGCTGAAAGTATTCAGTCACATTTTTCAGTAATAATATTAGGTGGACAAGCTTTTAACAGTCATTTACAGATCTAGTAAAGCATAATTTAATAAAATGATGCTGACTGCAAAGGTTGGATAAGTATTTGTGCGAAGTTTCAAATGGTCGCACAGAGGAATTGGATCTCCAACTTCTGAATCTCCAATAGCAGTTACTAGAGGCACTGATGGATGAACATAACAAAAAGTGCAATAAGACCGATAGCGTGAAAAACAATTGCAATTCTGTCTTCAGATTGCAGTGGAAGCCTAATGACCTTTATGATTCATCCATTCAGAAGCAATCTGCCATATTAGTACTGGCTGATTAAGCTTGAGAAACCTTGGCAAGTATCTTCAATTATTTTCTTTTTGTATTCTTTCATGCAGCTTACAGCCCTGATCTGTGGTTTCATTATCAAGCTGAGGAACTGCCTGCATGATAATGGATTCCTGAGGCAGCTGTATACCATTGGTCTGCTGGCCCAATTTGAAAGCCTTTTAAGTACTTACGGTAAAGAACATTGCATGGGGAAAGCATGCAGAGTTATTAATTCCTTGAAGTGTTACACTTAATGAAATATGCACAGATAATGTAGGTCTTGTTATTCAAACACAAACAGGCTCTAGGTAGGTTTAGAATCAAACCATGACGTACAATTAAATTTTAAATTAGTCAACAGAATCCAATGCAACTAAAAATCAAAGTTGCTTGTGATAATTATGGACAGGATCCAAATTCAGAAACTGTAATGAACTTGGTGTGTACTGATAAGTTCCTCAAGCAACAGAAGAGCAATTTCAGAAGAGTTGTTCAGCAGGACAAACAAATTTGAACACTGGCTGCCTTTTAGAATGTAAAACTTTTTGTTGGAGGATACCTAAATATTTGGATTTGTTGAAATTAATTTTAGTTGGATTACATTATCTCAAACAATGGCAACTCCTTCTAGCTGAAAGCCTTGGCAAAATGGAGACATTAAAGTTGAAACGTCAATCCAAACTTACGAGTTATTTCAGAAATTGGATTTATTTATTTATTAAATTTACATGCCACTGATTTGACAAACCGAAGCAATTTTCGGTGGCTTCATTTCTGCTTATGGTGCTGGCATAAAGTCTGTGGGGAAATGCCTCCATGTTAGCTATCAGTGCACAGACATCTTTATCATATTTATTTATTAATTAAATGTATATACCACTCATCTCACTATTGATGCAACTCGGAACCCATATTAGTATGAGAGTGTGATGTTGGAGCCAGAAGCACGGCTAGTTCCTGTTAGATTGTTGTATTGCAATTAAAGTGTGAACAGTAGCCATAGCTCATCTTATCTGGGTTCAGAATCTAAGCAGCTCAAACTTGGTTAGTTCTTGGAGAGATACTTTAGGGCTTTGGCCCCCAACCTTTGGGCCATCAGAGACTAGTTCCATGAAGACAGATTTTTTTCTGCGGACTGGAGAGGGCATGGTTTTGTGTGCTGCCTGCAGTGCGCGGATGAGGCTTCGCTTATTTGCACGGCTTGGTTTCTGGCATGCTGTGGACTGGTGCCAGTCCATGGACTGGGGTTTGAGGAACCCTGCTTTAGGAAATTCCAGAGATACAAGTTAACTAAGAAATTGAAAAGAAAATCCCATACATTATCTCCTGTTTTCAAGAAAACTAAACGAACTTATTCAGAATCACTGGGGCTTTAGCTTGCCTCAAATACTATTTTATTTTAGTTGGCAATAAATGTAAACATATATTTTGTAATATATATTATTAATATTGTGTTCATTTTTTTCATTTAGGAGAAGAACTGGCTATGCTAGAAGATATGAGTGTGGGAATAATGGACTTGAGAAATGTAACGTTTAAAGTAACTCAGGCCACTTCCGGTGCTTCTGCTGATATGCTGCCAGTCATTACAGGAAATCGGTAAAAAATTGGAGTGGGAATGGAGAAGAGATTTTGGGAAAGGAAAAGAAAGGAGAAATGTGTTTCCTAATAAGGAACATTTTAGAACATGTGCTAATTAGTAAACTGTTTATACCAATGTGTTACTCTTGTGCAACATATAAACATAATTGACCATCTGTTTTGCTTAAGATAAAAATGCAAGCCATGCTATTATTTTTTATATTATGAATGAAGCTCTCGGATAAGGATTTGTACAAGGAATAAATATAACATGCATTGGTACTGTATGCAAGAAGAGAACAAATGTTGTTTTTTCAGTATTCTGAGGAGGACATGTAGTCTTCTCACACAGAACTAGCATATATCTAGTCCAGAATTTCTTAATCTCAGCAACCCTAAGAGATGTACACTTCAAGAATTTCCCAGGCAGTATGATATAGCCTATTCATTCCAGTTTTGTATTACTAACCAACCAACCAACCAACCAGAAAGGGTTAGGAAATTCATGTTATAATAATCAAAGGAGGACAAGAAGTGAGTTTTCATGTAGATTTAAGTTGGCCTAATTTGACCTTGTCTGGGCACATGTAACTATAGTATTGTGGTAGTTAATGTATCCATTCATTTTGAGCAAAGTGCTAATTAATAGGTTATATCAATGTGCTTTTCTTGTGCAACATGGTTTGTTAAGCTTAGCCTCTTGGGCTGATATGACATTCGAGTCAGGTCTTTAGATTCTCTTATTATACTGTATTTTCCATTGCTTTCTGAAAACTGCCAAGAATGGAGATGCTTAGAGTTTTGATTTTAGTTACTGTTAGCAATTTCCTAGAGAGCAACATACAGTATGTCTTAAATATTTTTAAAGGGGCTTTTCTGAAAATATTACTATTGCTTGATTAGCTTCACATTTCTTGTCTAAATTAGGGATGGATTTAATGTGAGGATTCCACTACCAAGCACCTTATTCGATGCCTTGCCTCGTGAAATCCAGAGTGGCATGTTGCTGAGAGTTCAACCAGTACTTTTCAACGTGGGAATCAATGAACAGCAAACTTTAGCAGAAAAGTACATACCTATACATTCTCTTTTCTAATCTTTCATGTTTAATAGATGACAGAGGAATTGGTTTTCCTCCTAAATATATACTGAATGAATTTCCAAGAGGTTATTTAAAGGATAGCTCAGGAAGAAGTTAAATGACATGAAAACTTTTGTGGAATCAGTACTTATATGTGTACTACATAGATTTCTACACTTTATAGTCTGCTGATGTTATATTTGAGCCTTGCTGGTGCAGGGGTTAGAGTGCAGTACTGCAGACTACCTCTTCTGACTGCTGGCTGCTCCAATTTGCCAGTTCAAATCCCACCAGGCTCAAGGTTGACTCAGCCTTCCATCCTTCCAAGGTGGGTAAAATGAGGACCCAGGTTGTTGGGGGCAATATGCTGACTCTGTAAACCACTTAGAGAGGGATGTAAAGCATTTAAAGCAGTATATAAGTCTAAATTCTATTGCTATATTTAAGATTAGATGCAAGCTTGGCTTCATGGAATACCTTGAGACATTTACAACATTATCTAGTAAATCATGCAGTATCCATATTCAAAAGGCAACATGTGATTTGGAGCATGCATGGAGACAGTGGAGGACGGGGAGGCCTATTGTGCTGTACTCCACGGGATTGTAAGGAGTCTGCCACAACTTAGGGACTGAATAAGAAATGGATGCCTGTGTAATGCTTATGGACAATAAATAAGATGTCTTTTTGCCAAGATTGTTTCTCAACTATAAAAAGCAACCATGCAATCCAGGGAAGTCACAGCTGCTTTAAAGTGTTCTAGTATATAGTATGTGCCAGACTCCTTTTGCCTTTTGAATCAGAAACCCTGAAGAATCTAATATCTGGTGCTTGCCACTTCAAAAGAGCTATAGCAAAACCTAAGATAGGAGAATCTATTGTATTGCTTTGATGGCTTTAATAATAGCAGTCTGTATTTGGATTTCCTTATGTTAAGGAAGCTACTTTTGTTAAGGAAACAGTAAGCAAGCTATTAAATGGGGTATCTGTTTCTTTATATTATTAGTAGAAATCAATCAGACAATACATGCAGTCTATGGCATTTGAAATTTATTAATCTACTTCAGTATTTTTACTACTGAATTTTAGGGCAAAGTTCTTATAAAACTATAGAGTAAGTAAACATAGAGTAATTAAAATTAGTATCACAATAATTTATAAAATCTATTTAAAACACTTGTATAAATGAGTTACCTTGTCTGTTCTATGTTTAAGGCAAATGCTAAAATATTAATAATGGAAATGAAAAGAACTATTTGAAAGCTTGCAGATGTTCTCCCATCTTTTGTTTGGAAGATCTATTAATATGGACCTTTAAATTTTTAAAGGTTTGGCGATACCTCCTTGCAGGAAATTATTAACATGGAAAGCTTAGTACGGTTGAATTCCTACTTTGAACAGTTCAAAGAAGTTTTGCCTGAAGACTGTAAGTGTAAATTACAGATATATATATTTAAAACAATTTAAATCAAGAAAAGATCTGCTTTTATATGATAACAAAACAATTAAAAATCAGTAGCTATGTTTCCCGAATATATTGAGGTTTCTTTAATCTCAGTTAATGTTTTGAGTTGGGTTTGGTAAAATGGAACAGTATCAACCTCCTGTGGACAGTCCCTAAACCCTGATATGGAAGTGGTTGTGTGGCCATGGACACATATAGATGGCAAGAGTTAAAAAATGCAATTCCAATTGAAGTTGATTGATTGATATGCATCATCAACTCACTGCTTAGTGACCACATAAATATTTTCCATGACAATCTATCCTATGGATGTCAAACTTGTGGCCTCACAAGTTTTGTGATATCTCCCCCTTTTTGGAATTGGTGTAGGTGTGGCCTGTGCCAGATGCATTTGGCCCACGGGCTGCCAGTTTGACACCCCTCATAGATTTTATCCCTAACCTGGTCTTTCAGTTTGTCCAGTACTGCACTTATTGCCACAGTAATGGTGTCCACCTAATTCGCTGATGGTCATCCTCGCCTCTTTCCTTCACTTTTCCCAGCATTACAGCCTTCTTCAGAAAGCTCTAATGTTTCTCATAATGTCCAGTGTAGGATAATTTGAGCCTAGTCAAGTATGTCTTGAGTGAGAACTCAGGGTTGATTTATTCAATGATCTGTTTTCTTGATTGCTTATGATATTCTCAAGAGTCTTCACCAACACCAAAATTTAAAAGCACCAATCTTCTTGTTATTCTACTTCTTCATAGTCCAACTTTCACTTTTATGGAGAATACAATGGCCTGCATGATTCTGATTTTTGTATGTCACTTTGACAGCCATGGCGTTTGAGTACCTTTTTCAAGTCCTCCTACTTACTGAAATGAAAAAGTATAACACTGGTTTTATTTGCTACTTTTTGTTTTGTTTTAAATAGCTGGCAGTCTGATTCCTGCAATGATGATGCCAGCACATTCATGAGACTAAATCAATTCTATGCTCAGTTGTGGATAAGAAAAGGGATATTCATATTAATTTTAGAAATATTGTTCAAGGAACTTAACAGTTTAGAATACTAGACCTCCCCCTTCACTATTGCTGCTTACCTTTCACCAAACCTCTTTTTCCTATGTGCTCCCTCAAAAGGGAAGTGCAACCATTACAAAAGAGTGCTTGTGACCTTCATAGGCAGTTCCCAAAAATCTGAAGGAATCTAGTAGTACTTCTTCTAACTAACACATTTTATTAAAAAATACCAATTTTCATGGAGCTCACCATATCAGATGCGACACATCAGTTGATATGATGTGTAAGAATGGCTTCTGAATTCCTATTATGTATAGTCTCAGTTCCTGAGTGAGTAACGAAGTGAGCTCCTGTTATTTGTCCCAGCTTCTGCCAACCTAGCAGTTCGAAAGCATGTAAAAATGCAAGTAGAAAAATAGGAACCATCTTTGGTGGGAAGGTAACAGTGTTCCGTGTGCCTTGGGCATACAGTCATGACGGCTACATGGCCATGGAGACGTCTTTGGACAGCGCTGGCTTTTCGGCTTTGAAATGGAGATGAGCACCTCCCCCTGAAGTCAGGAACGACTAGCACATATGTGTGAGGGGAATCTTTAACTTTATAATGTTTAGGAAACAGGTTGTTGATTCCCAGCTCTGCATACTGATAGTTGATCGGGGCTGGCTGAAGCTTTTCACAAGTTTCCATCCTCTCCCGCCTTCCGCCTTACATTCAAATATCCCCCCTCCCCCCAATTGCTAATGTCAGGCTGTCATCTAATGAAGCTTGGATAGGAGAGATGCAGTCATAACAATAACTGTCTGCTGCTAAACATAACCTATTCATTCTCAGATGAAAAAAATGCTATCGGGCCTTTGTTAAGTTGTGTTTATTATTTTTTTCTTCAGGTCTACCTCGATCTCGGAGTCAAACGTGCCTGCCTGAACTGTTGAGGTTCCTTGGACAGAATGTACATGCAAGAAAAAATAAGAATGTTGATATTCTTTGGCAAGCTGCTGAGGTAAGATTTAACAAAGTTAACTTAGTATGTTGTCACTTATCCCCCATGACAATGTTATGTCTTCAGAATAAGCAGCAGTACAGAAAGCTGCAGATCCCTGCATGTTCTATTTTGTTGTGCCAGGTTGTTTCCCTGACCAAAAAGATGCAGAGCATTATAGTAAACCCCAATTTCCTTCCAATTTTCTGATTTTAAGATAGGCATAAAAATGAATAAATGTTGACATTTGGTTCCATCGTGGCATGATTTCCTCCAGGATTTAGCAAAATTTTAGGTTCTGGGCACTGTTGGCATAAATTTAGTCTGGGCATCAGAAAATAGAATCAAATTAAAAATGGCTACAATCTTGTAAGGTTTTGACCATTTTTAATATTTCTAACATCAGAATTCTGGAACTTATTTAAAGGGCTTCAGGATTATATATGCTTTATCTGAAAAGGAAATAGTACAGGACTAAATTTGATGTGAGGAAGATGCCAGTAAAAAACAGATTTAAGTCTGAAAATGGACTAGGTAAGGTTGAGGCCTGCTGAGCAGATTTCCCCAGTCTGTCCCAATGGGAAACCCAGATGGGCAAAGCCTTGGAATGCTGGTGATGGCTTCAGTCTAAGGCCCCTCCCTCCTATCGTGTGACTCATAGTGGAATGTATGCAGCTTGCTCTGTATTTCGCATTGCGTACATATACACAAATCACAACACAATACAGAAGAAATGTAGGAAAAGTAGAAACATGTTTATAGACACTCATGTATATAGGAAATGGATATGCACAACCTTTGGGGAAAAGAGCAGACTCATATATACACATCAGATACAACCCATTATTTTATGGGTTGATGAAGGCAAAAACTCCAATGATCATTGTTCATAAAGGAGGTGGGAAGAAATCCAGAAGCCATGCTTTTTCTACCTTGTTAATTTGATGTTAAAGTACATTTATTTGATTATTATAATATTTGATTATTTATATCCAACTTTTATTATTTTTACAAATAACTCAAAGTGGCTAACATATCCAGTACACCTTCCTCCTCCTATTTTCCCCACAACAACAACCCTGTGAGATGGGTTGGGCTGAGAGTAACTGACCCAAAGTCATCCAGCTGGCTTTCATGGCTACGGCAGGACTAGAACTCACAGTCTCCTGCCTTAACCACTAAACCAAACTGGTTTTCCATATATCTCTACATATATTGTAATTGTGTAGTTTCTGTAGATATCTCAAGAAATGTTAGAAGAATCTCATTAGCAGCCCCTAATTTAAAAAGAAAATGCTGTGAAACTGTTGACACTGTTGCCAACCTGGCTGCCCTAGAAGAAGAAGCCTGACGCATTTTCTACTGAGGTTGATTTGATTTGATTGATTGATTTAATAAATTTATAGGCCGCCCAATCCCGAAGGACTCCGGGTGGCTTATAGAAAATAAAATTTTAAAAAAGAAGAGTTAAAAACAAACAGAGGAAAACAAATTAAAAGAAAGCACATCATGCACCCAGTCTAATCGGGGCTGGACCTCGGTCAAGAGGTCAACAGCCCCAGGCCTGCCGGAATAGCCAGGTTTTGATAGCCTTCCGGAAGTCCATAAGAGTGGGTAGGGTCCAGATCTCTGGGGGTAGTTCATCCCATAGGGTCGGAGCGGCTACAGAGAAGGCCCTCCCCCGGGGAGCCGCCAGCCGACATT